ACTGAGAGATGGAGAACTGAGAGGTACAGTTGTGCATTTGGGGGTGTGGGATGCTCATTGAGAGGGAGGGAAAATCGGAGGCATGAAGCATGGCATGAGTGAGCTAGGGCTGGTTGAGATCTGGGAAGTAGAGGGAGGATGTGTAGTGTAGGAAAATAAAACGGAGGCGATAATATTTTGCAAAGAAGATCTCCATGGCTCATGAGTCATGGTGTCTCCTAATTGGTGCAAATTTCAAGAAGCCGCATTTAAAATAATATTAATATGGCAAGATGGAGGATGACTTGATCGACTCCCTGCAGCTGCACGACTCTGCATGCTCCTGCTGCCAACAGTGGTCTACACTCTATCTGAAAAAAAATAGAATAATATGTAATGAGTATTAAAATACTTAGTAAGCAACCTACTTGTAGGATCTCGTTGGACTTCATCTTTACAATGGTCTCTTAAACTATGTGTTCATATTCTGACACTAGCATTAGCCAATGTCATGACTTACTATCTGTACTGGCCCAATAAGGCTTATACGTACCTACACTCTATATACTCCTACTCTAAGGTGTATAACTATGTCCCTTGGACCATAATGTAGGGTTTGAATGTACTTAGCCTTTTGTTTATGTTTCTCAAAGTCTATCCTTAACCCTTTGCTATTGGCACATGGGTCAACTTGTCCTATAATGGGCTCATGGGTAAGTCTCTTGTGTATGAGGTAACCTAAACCCATATGAACTGTCTACTTGGTTTACCCATACCCTCGATGACTTCTAACGTCCTCTATGGGTGATAAGTAACCTCTATGTATCAAGTAGACTCTAACCATGCTAGGTAAGTTTACGATTAGGGGTTGCGTCTCAGTCGTCCCTACTTGATTTGCCTGGTCACCCAAAAATACCTGTGGGACCCAATGTAAGTTCTAGGACTAAGGGAATGCAATAATTGCTCATGATCATGCATAGACTCATCTAGGCTCTCTAGGGCACATAGCATTTATCCAATATAATATCCAGTCAGGGTGTCTAATCCCTATAACGTACTACCATGCATATATAACGGTGTCCAACATGCTCAATCAACAAATTTACAAACATACCAGACATGCTGAAGTCCTTATAAAGTTAGGACTAATAGGGGTTCACAACGTACAAGTGGAAGCTTTAAACATAAAATTGCGCTAAACTAGATTACGAACGAGTTTCTAGGCTTAACTATTTGCAACTTGATCAATTAGGTTTATCATCATGCTTTCTAATTAATTTGTCCATTGTCCTAATCGACCCCTACAAGTATTGCTTAAAAATAATCCATGTGGCTACTTGTTGTATACTTTCCCAAATTTGGTTCGGGTCTTTGAGAATTTCCAAATTTTCCCAAAAGTTCTTAGTTGGGTTCTACATTAAGGGAAAATATTAGAACTATTGAAATCGAGGTGAAATTCTAATTAAAATGATGTAAACCAGGCAAAATAAGGGTTTCCAGTTTGGTTGGACCAAAAGCGGTCCAATAATCGACTGGACCTGATACAACTATACTGGTTGTGTCCGGTTCAAGTGAACAGGCTGGAACCAGTTCAGTCAGATCGGTTCCCCCCCTTTCTTCTACTTCACGCAGGAGCCCTGCCCATGCGTGTTTCTTCTCTTCAGTTGTCTCTGTAGTCCATGACGTTGCCTCCTCAAAACTACATCGGAGTCGTGAAGTTTCATTAGGTAATCAAGCGGAGCTCTCTAGGTATAGGAATTTTTTGGAAAACTCACCGTGTGACGCAAGCTCCTCCACTCAATTCCAAGTGCCCTCCTTCTCTTGCGGTTCCTTAATCGAGGATTATAGCTTTTTTATTTTTTATTTTTTCCCAGCAGTCCTCACTGTCACAAAATTTCCCCTCTTTATTATTTAAAAAAAGTTGTGGTGATTACAAGTTTGTCTTCTGTAATAGCTTTAAGTTTACCTAAACAATGTGAAAACCCTTTCCCTGATACATAAGCTTGGAAGGAAAGGTGCTCGTGAATTCAAATTGAAATCTTGCATAAAACCTATTTAAGTATGCATGTGAGCAAGGAGGCATATTAAATGGATTCTCAGCTTTGCATCTGAAGCTCTTTGGTTCTTTTCTTTATCTTTTTATTTCTCACTGTACTTAAGAAACTCTCGACTTTAGAACTAACGCTGATGTTGTCCTAGGTGCAGGAGTTGTCACGGATGCACTCTTGATGAAGGAATAAAAGTTTCTATTGCAGAATGCAGATGTCTGTGCGATGATGATCACTGTCGTGTATTATCAATTTGTTTCATTGTTCCTATGTTTATATGAACATAAGTATAATCGGTCATCAAGAATTGCTTCTTTATATCAAAGTAGATTTTCTCCTGAATGTTGACTTTTGAGTTTCTGTTTTCTGGAACTAGCTCTTGCCTTTTTGAGCAGGAGGAAACCCTGTACTCAAATGATGATGGATAGCTTTGAATCCATGTAAGTTTTTGTTTTCTGTTCACCCTTTTCCCATAGGGAACTGATGATATAGATTTTGATGCAATAATAACAAGAACTAGAGTTGTAGTAGAAGGCTTGATAGTTTATGTGTCTGAATCATGTGCCATAATGTCTGTGCTGCTACTCTCCATATCTCCCATAGGCTAATGGCAGTAGCTGTTTACTGAGAAGGTGACAGCCATAAATCTACGGACATTGATACTGAAATAATGATTTTGTTTGTGTAGTTTTGAGTTTTTGTTCATAAGTGGACCTTGCATTAAATAGTGGTGGAAATGTTGGTGAAATATTGGCAGCACCCAACACCCCATTTAGTTCGAGCATGTGGTGGTAAGTAAGTAGTAGGTGTAGTAAGACCCTGGCCATACTACTATTCCATAGGAACACCTTTCTGACCACTTTCTTTAGCTGAAAAAAATGCATCAGGTCTTGTGATAATTGCCCTGAAAAGGTCCCAAAGGAAGTGGGACATGGTGGCAACTGTACAAGTTATAGCTGGTGCATTTTGAATCACAATGCGAAAACTGGCTTGGAAACCCAACATTTAGGCCGTTTTTCTTTACTTTTTGAGGTTAGAAACCCAAGGAAAACCAACTTAGTAGCCAAGGAATATTGTCACTCGTCCACACTTAGGCCTCCAAACGCAGGTTAGTGTCGACTTTTAGTCAAACAAAACTTTTTATTTTTGAGTTCTGACAATTGTGGAGATGGTCGAGTTTTATTTTTGAGTTCCAACAATTGTAGAGATGGTCGAGTCATTGACATTAGAAGAGTTTGAAAAGGCACAACATTACGACGAGTCCTACCAGAATTGATAACATCAAAAAAGGAGATAAAAGACTCCGAGTTTTGATGTTGAGGATTTGATTCAATCTCCGAATGAATCACCTCTTCTTGTACTAATCATGGACTTGGACTTATTATCCGGGTTATTATACCCGTGTGGTTTGGTTTGGTTTGGTTTATGTACTTATTATACCCGTGTGGTTTGGTTTGGTTTGGTTTGGTTTATGTACTTACTTTTATAACGGGTTTTATAGTTAAAAGTTGATTCTATGGTATGATGAATCGTTTGGAGACCAAGTTTTGTTTTTCTTCAGCTACACTTGCCTTTACTAAACTAAAGTAGAGAATAGCCTGCCTGCCTTTATTTATTCTCTCTTCAATTTCCATTTCAGCTTTTTAATGTAAAGCACTTTCCCAAGGGCAGAAATTACTTATTTATTAAATAAATAAATAAAAATATTAAAATAATTAGAAAAAATGGCAAAGACAAAAACAAAAGGCAGCCCTTTTTAGCTTGTTCTACAGCCTGTATTAGGCCCATATTATACAACACTTTTTGAAAATTTTAGAAATTAAAGGAATAATAATAATAATATTGGGCTGGAAGTTACTGTTTTGTCCCTCTTAGAGTTGGATTTCTTCCGGTGTTGAATGCTTACTGTTCAAACAACCAAAACGCAGCGTTTAGTACAGAAGATGTCTAAGATGGTCAATTAATAAATACAAATACTGTTTTTTATATAATTTATATTTGCTTTTCCCCCAAATTCCATTTTCTCTCCTCCATGGCCCACCACTTCATTCTCAATCAAATACCTTTTGGGATTTCTTATTTATATATTTAATTAACAAAATAATAATAATAATAATAATAATAATTATAGTGGGAAGGAAAGACAAAAATCCAACATGTCAATGTCAACAACAACCAAAAAAAACATATTTGTAATAAATAAAGCCTAAAGTTATGAGGAGCTTAGATTGAATGAATCATCCACAAAATAATAATTTTTGTTAGGTTAATTTCATAAAAATATAAAAATATAAAAGTATAATTTTACTGACTTACTTTCTTTTCTTCGGGACGTATTCTAAGGCCTTACTCATAACAGAGGAATCCCAAGTAATAGAAAGATGCAAGAACGGATACAAGTGATTTTACGAGGGAGGCTCATAACAGAGGAATCCCAGGTAACAGAAAGACGGGAGGGAGGCATTGGATTACAGGTGACGCTTACAAGAATGGCAGGGTGATTTTACGAGGTAAATAGGCTTTTAACGTACCCTTGTATCTGATATGGTGATAAACGCTAAATAATATCTTGAACTTTTTTAAAAAAATTAAAAGTATTTTTGCGTTTTGGTTTAAATTTTTAATATTGTTCTAAAAGTTAATAGCTGCTCTAAAAAGTTTAAGGGAATGAATGAACCTTATGTTCAATAGTTTTTATTTTTTAATAAATCCTTAACTTTGTTAATTTCGGAATCAAACCATCATCGTGGTAGTCTTAGATCGACCTTCCTCTTAACAACTTGGAGACTTGGAGACGTATAATATTAACCGTAATAACGAGATTGACTATATTCCAAATCGAAACATTTAATATTAAAATATATAAGCAGAAGAGAACAAAAAAATTGTTTATTTAGTCAAACACACAAGCAAGCCACCGACGAAATCTTAACATCACAAACAGGAAAAAGAAAAAGAACTCAGAACAAAACATTTCATTAAGAATCTCTCTTTATTACCTTCGAAATTGCATAAAACCAAATTCAGCAGATACATAAGAACAAGAAGAACAAGAAGAACAAGAAGGAGAAGATGAAGAAGAATCAGTTCTCAGTAACACTTTTTGTGCGAAACAATGAATCATTCATCATACAGGTATCAGAAATAAACGGCATTTACACAAAAATCATCATTAAAACTTCTACTACTCACAAGAATACCATCAAAACCAGAGAAGATCAGTAAAGGAACTAGAGAGGATGAATATCTTGGTACCGTGACGAGTGATCGGTCGATGGAGGAGCTCAAGGGACGTATTCTGTCTCAAGAGTTGGCTGCGTTCGTGTCACGGACGCAGTGGGTGCTTTTGTGTTGCCCACCATTGCCATTTGTAGAGGTTCTCCCAATTCTGCTGCCCTCTCCATCTGTTCCATTTTGTTTCTTTGCTTTAACTTATGAACCCAACAAATGAGGAGTGATAGCAACACCAACAGCAACACTCCACCCACCACAGATCCTACAATGATCCACACTCTGGTGGTGTTTTTCTTGCTTGAAGGTGGAGGTGCATTTGGGATCACAGCCCCCGGGGGCGACTGGGAGACTGGTGAAGGAGAAGGAGCAATGGATTCAACGACGATAGAGAAATGCCCGTGTTCGATTGTTGAACATGTGTTACCAGACTCCACACTGCTGAAATTGGCTATTCCCTGAAGATTAAACCAAACACACTTTGCAACGGCGCCATCCGGGAGGGACTTGACATTGTCGAACTTGACATGTATCGGGTCACCGGAAGCTCTCATTTTGAGTTCGGGAAGATTAGTAGCCGAGAGATTGGAGGCATTGTAAGCAAGAAGACCCAACATTGGTGCTAAAAAGGTATAACCAGGCAATGCATAATACTCCTCAGACCAGTTCCCCAAGTTCTGATACACCAAAACAAGCCTCTCAACATATGGCTGCACGATAACACCAGTCGGGATATCGAACTCCGCGAATGAAACAACACCATACCGTCGAAAACTACCACTCCTCAGCCTCATAGCTCTAATGCTAATCCCAGTCAAGTTCGAGGGAGCGGCTGCATCGTAAGGAATACCAGTTTTCGGGTTAACCAATGCCTTATAAGCATATTCCTGGAGAAGAAGATCCAAAGAACGCGCCGATGAACGAGTATCGGTTGATCGAACCATAACCAGATCAGCCAAAAACAAGAACCACATTTGAACAATCAGCATCACGAGACTTCTAGGAAGCCCCATGGATGCTTTGAAATCTCACAATTCACAGCAATGCACGTAGATTTCAGCTCAACCAGAGAACAGAACAATACTCAAATGAGAGTTAAAATTACCACAAAGTGATAACGGATACGCTATAAAGATCTTCAAATGGGCAATAAATCAAAAGCAGCTTTGAATGAAGGAAGGGATACAAATTTGAACCGTTGCAAGATCCTTATTCTTTTCCAGATATTACTTTTTTCCCTTTCGGAATCGTTGAACAAAAAAGCTTGGAATAATCAATGGAATCTCACAGAAACAGAGAAATCAGATTCTTCAACAACGATGGCGGATTCTAAATCTGACGCGAATTTTATTGAACGAGCAAGTACCTGCTTAAATTAGCTCCAATGGCGATAATGTGAGATACTTGCAGAGCTTAGATGAGCAAAGAACCCATATCACCATACAAATACTTGAAAATCGCAGTAGAAATCAGCCGCAAACGAGAGCATAAACCCTAGAATCTTGAGGAAAATCATGATTCACAACTTCAAATCAAACGCGCCGCATGAACCACGCCGCACATAACGGCAATGGAGAAACTCAATCAAAGAACATCCCGCATTTCCCAACCAAATCTCGATACCCAACAATCAAAATCGCCCAAAAAAACCCAAAATCAAGCGAACGAGTTGGGGAATCGATCAGAGCATCAAAAGAATCAAACAACAACCGATTAAGAGACATACAGATTCATCTCTCAAAAATTGAACACAAAATCCAAAAGAGAAACTAAACAAACAGATTTCAAGAGGAAAAAAAAAAAAAAAAAAAACCCAAAAGAACAACGAAATTCCTTCTCCCACTCCTCCAAGTTCCAACAAAAACAGAGCAAATAATCAAAAGGGAACACAGAAATTAGAAGAAGAGATGAAAAACGGCAACAATGGCGGCGTTAAAACGTGAAATGGAGGTGAAAGAAGAGCTCGAAACAACAAATCCACAAAGAAATTGGCGAAAAAAACAGAAAGAGATGAACAAATTGAATGATTTATGAACTGGGATTGAAGGACTCGGGTGAGTTAGGGAGCAGAAAATGGTGGGCTGAAGAACTGAAAATCGAAGAAATATTTTAGGGAACGGCTACAGATTTTTCCTTTTTAGCTTCGATTTCGGTATCGCATTATGAAACCAACCGGCGAAGAAGGTAAAAAGTCCACAAAAAAAAAAAAAAAAAAAAAAAAAAAAAAAAAAAAAAAAAAAAACGTCGCTTTCGANACTGGCTGCATCTGCCACGTGGCGCTACGCGGTCAAACCATTTCTTCAAACCTATTATTACTCTATTATCTTTTTATTTCTTTTTTTTTTAAAAAAAAAGAAGTATTATATATTTGCATTTTATACATTTCCCCTTTTTTAAATAATTTTTTTCCTAATTATTTCATTATTATTGGTTCATGGATCCCATGTTATAATTAGAGATTACATGGATTTTTTTAATATTTTAATGTTGGTGCCTTTCATTTAAAAAATAATAAATAAATATATATATTCAAATTATATAATCGTTCTCTCCGTCATTATCGTGTTAAACATGCAAAAATGCTCACAAAGCTAAGGTTATGGAATCAACTTCGATGCCATCGTCTCTAGTTGTGGTTTAAGGAAAAGAAGTAACTGTCGCACTCCTACCCAATACTAGGACAGACGGGTATGTCGTAAATATGATTTTAGACGTGATGACTGGTGTCACGTTAGTAATGCTAAATGATGAATAAGTACCAAGCAAACTACAAATACTTTCGGAGAAATTAAACATTGAAGTTCAATTTGAACAAGAACTCTATTTTATACACGATTCAATTATAGTAAATGAACGAGAACTCTATTTTATTTATTTATTTATTTATTGGTACGAACAGTTAATAATTTAATTTTTAAAAATTTAATATATATATATTTGTAAATCAACCGTTAATAATTTAATTTTTAAAACTTTAATATATATATATATTTGTAAATGAACGGTTAGTAATTTAATTTTTAAAAATTTAAAATTAAATACTAAATTAGTTTATTATCTTTCATTTACTATACCAAAAATTTATAATTTAATAAAAAAAATAGTTTCATTCACAATAATAATTATGAATTATTATTATTATTATTATTATTATTGATACTGACAGACTACACCAGAAATAATACATTATTTTTTAAAAAAAAATGTTTGGAAGAAGAAATAATACGTATTAAAAGATATTCTGAATTAAAAAAATGATATAAATAGGAGAAATTATGGAAGGTAGGGGGGGCAAATGGAATGACCATTTTGCCCCTAATGAGTGGTTGATTTTATGGTTTGGTCATAAAATCAATGTGTTTGAGAAAGCTAATATTATAATGTGCGTGAAAATTGAAGTTGGTGGTTAGCACGCAAAACCATGATTAAGAGAGAGAAAATAATTAGATTTTTTTTTTAATAATTATTGGTCAAGTAATTATGATTATATAATTATTAATTAAAATATTAAAATTGGTCTAAATTTGAAATAAATCGAGATTTTTCATTTGTTCGAGATTCAAGAATTAGGGTTTAAACAATTAGCAAAATTAAGAGCTAGTCCGAGTAAACGTTTCTGAACGAGCCTTCCTTTAAAAAAAAAATGAAAAAGTAAGGGTAAATACGTAATTTACCATCTACTTAATGTTTAAGATTTGTCATTTTAGAAATGGTTCGAGATTCAAGAATTAGGGTTTAAACAAACTCGGTAAGAATTAAGTTTGTTTCCTTATACTTTTTCATTTGTAATTAGCAAAATTAAGAGCTAGTCCGAGTAAACGTTTCTGAACGAGCCTTCCTTTAAAAAAATGAAAAAGGAAGGGTAAAAATGTAAATTACAATCCCCTTATGTTTAAGATTTGTCATTTTAGAAATGGTTCGAGATTCAAGAATTAGGGTTTAAACAAATTCAGTAAGAGCTAAGCTTGTTTCCTTATGCTTTTTCATTCGTAATTAGCGAAATTAATAGCTAGTCCGAATATACCTTTCTAAACGAGTCTTCCTTAAAAAAAAAATGAAAAGAAAGGATAAAAACGTAAATTATAATCCAAGATTTTTCATTTTAGAAATTGTTCGAGATTCAAAAATTAGGGTTTAAACAAAATGGATAGTTTGTTTCCTTTAACTTTTTCATTTGTAATCAGCGAAATTAAGAGCTAGCCCGAATATATCTCTGAAAACGAGTCTTCCTTAGAAATGGTATAAAACAAGGGTAAAAACGTAAATTATAATCCACTTATTGTTTAAAAATTAAGAACCAGCCCGAATATACTTCTCGAACTCTCATAAAAAGTAAGGGTAAAAATGTAAATTATAACCCACTTGATGTCGGCCGGAATATACCTTTCTAAACAAGTATTCTTTATAAATAATAAAAAGCAAGGGTAAAAACGTAAATTAAAAGCCACTTAATATTTAAAATTTGTCATTTTAGAAATGGTCCGGGATTAAAAAATTAGGGTTTAAACAAAATCAGTAAGAGCTAAGTTTTTTCCTTAAACTTTTACATTTGTAATCAGTGAAATCAAGAGCTAGTTCGAAAATACCCTTCTGAACGAGCCTTCCTTAAAAAAAAATAACAAGGGTAAAAACGTAATTATTTCACCACCTAAACCTTTTTTTATGTTCTATCTGAATAGAGTTAACGGTTAATATAACGAGGTTATGGAAGGCAACACGTTGATGCAATCGAAAATTCACAAAGATTTGAGCGGTGTTTAGGTGAAATGAAGCTTGGCTCGTGCTCGAGGATATGGAGGGCAACATGTTATGAATTTGATTTAAATAAATGAAGGGTAAAATCTCGAGGTTAAGGGTTAAAGTGTCCTGTTAGTAAGAAAAAAAAAAACTGACGAAATCGACTCAATTTAAGTAGTTTCGTTCAATCAAATTTCATGAAATACAAAAGGTTACGTGACGGTACATCTAGTCAACGAATGATTATTAGACGGTTATAATAAATTTTCGAGTTAGCTAGAACCGAGCCAAACCAACGTGCTTACGATTGGGAAATGATTGGGTGATTTGGGGCCGACCAAAGGGAGTGTGGGATTTGGCAATTGGGTTGGGTTTGGGTTCGGACATGTGAAAGCGCAGTCCCGTGACACACCGCCGTCGTTTTGTTCCCAAAATGCTCAAATCATCACAAACTTCCAACTATATATTCAACTTTTTCCTGCTTTTTATTTCCCTCATTTCTCCTTCAAATGCTGACACTTGTCGGGCCCCCCGGCCCTCCGACTCTCACTTTTTTTTTTGTGTCGGCTTGGTTCGGGTTGATTCCACGTTCGATGAGTTTAATACTTCACTAGTGATAATCGAATTCACTTTTTGGCGTCGTTTGGTTCGGGTTGATTCCACGTTCGATAAATTTAGTACTCCAGTGGGGATAATCAAATTCACTTTTTTGTGTCGTTTTGTTTGGAATGATTTCATGTTCGATGAGTTAATACTCTAATGGTGATAATCTTTTGTCGTTTAGTTTAGGTTGATTCCACGTTCGATGAGTTAATACTCTAATGGTGATAATCGAATTAGTTGAATATACAAGTGTAAATATAACAAAAATTACTGCTAAAAGTTGAATTATGGTGAAAAATTATCTGTTCGTTGAATTTATTGATTTTTTTTTCTCAAACCACTTCCCACGTTCTTAGGATATGTTCGGGTTACAAATTGTTTAAGCACTTGAGAAGTTTAGATATGTGTTCTCACGTTGTCGTGTTACGGTAAATATAAAGGATTTTTAGTTCATCTTAAAACGCTCAAAATAGGTTGTTAATGGTAACTTAATCATTTGAATCGTGTTCTAAACTTGAGCATAACTTAACTGATTAGAAAGTATTGTCACGTTATTAAATATTACATTATTTACTTAGCTTAGTCTATCTAAATTAAATTATTTATTTTCTTAAATAATATATATATATATATATATATATATATATATATATATATATATATATATAGTTTGGTTTTTATACGGTTATTTAAAGTAAATAACAGTATAAAATAAAAGAAACCCACATCGATTTTCTCACCCTTGTATGTCCACGTCAAATGAAAAGTGGGTTAGTGGACCATCTCGGCCCATTACTAACTTTAATGGGCTAAAATTTCAGCCCACTTAAATTGGCAGTTCAGATAAGACCCAAACTCAAATGGGCCCAATTAAAGTTCATGAACAGATAAATGGGCTTGTGAATATAAGGCCCATTGTAAATTATTAAGTAAAAATAGCATGATTTAGTGTAATGGGAGTAAATTACACTAATCACTAATGATTTAGCGTCATTGCTAACACACCACTGGATCGATGTCTGACTCTGATATCATAAACAAAATCCGTTTAGGTAATAACAAAATTAAAGAAAAATTCCCATTGTTTTGGATTTTCTAGGTTGTATTCAAACGAATAGATTGAAACAAAGGTAATAAATTGAAGCTCTCTCTGAAATTGCGATCAGATATTGATCTTGGAGAGAGCTGATCTTCCTTCTATACCTTTTCTTTTTCCCCTTTTTCTCTGGTTCGCTCTCTTGTCCTCAATCGCTCGAGAGCTTCATTCATAGGGCTCAAATTTCCCCCATTTTTCTATATCATTATCGCCGTCGAAACCCCATCAAACCTCTTCAATCAAGTCCTCTTTTCGTGATCGGCTGGTTTCTTTGACCTTTTAATCCGATGATCGCGCCCCACTTGCTCGATTTCTGATTCACTCTTGATTTTGTGTTCTTGTTGTAGCTAGAACTACTGTAGATTGGATTTTCTTATCTGGGTTCTTGCCATGTCGTGATTTTTCTTCATCTGAGGTTCTCCACGGAGTCTCGTTTGCGGAGAAGGTAGTTAAGCTCGTTTTCTTGTTTTTATTGATCATTTCTTGTAGCTTTGAACTTCTTGATCTTTAACTTGCTTCTTTACGCGGAAATTTGTGTTCCTTCTTTATATCATGGTCGAAATTTTCGTCTGTTGTTGTTGTTTTGATTGTCTTGAATGTTATGGCGATTAGGGTTAGGCCATTCACCCGAATGGAAGGGTCTAGTATCGACCCCGACTCTCATAGAGCTGCTTCTACCAGTGGTAGTTCAAGAAGGTTTGGATTGTTAGCTGCCTCGAATATTATTCAGGCTCCACTTTCTGCTCTATTAGAGTATTCGGGTCTTCTTCGTGGCCGCCCAAGTCATCAAGAACCTGAGGCATTGATAAGTGCACGACTGCCTTCGGCTTTTCGAGGCCATCTTCGCAGCCAGATTGACGAATCTTCAAGTGCCAGTAATGATGGAGAGGTTTCGATTAGGATAATTGGGGCTGGGGAACCAGAACATGGGAGAGATGGTGCTGGACTAGTAGTTGGGCAAGCGAGGGAATTCAGTGGTCAGAATGCAGCGTCTTCGCAATCTGTGACCTTGGCATCGGAGCTTAGCCAGGGAGATTCTGCTACTGAACGCAGTGCTCGAGAGGGCATTCCTCAATCGATAAATGCAGGCGCTGATGGGGATGCCTCGGAGGCAGCTGGGGGAAATAGCAGGGATTCTTCTTATCAAAGGTATGATATTCAACAGGCTGCTCGGGGGATTGAGCAGATTCTCCCATTTAGTTTTCTTCTACTGGTGGTCTTCATTCGACAGCATTTGCAAGGTATTTAAGAAGGCTCTCATTGTTTTAATATCACATGTTTCCATGTATATTTCTCTGCAATCTTTCTCCTTCTGGTGTTGATATTTGCATCTTAAACTTACTTACAGGCTTCTTTGTGACAATATGGATTGCTGCTTTCATGTACAAGTCGAACGATATTTTGCGAAAACAAACAGCGTTAAAGGTGTGTTATGGTATATTTTAACGATTGAGATCCATATAGTTTGAGTGACTTGACAACCAAACGTGATAGAGTTAGGTGGTTGTTCTATGAGAATAGTTGATGTTAGGAGATTACAAGAAGGTCTGCTAGTTGATTAAGTCACCTATAGGGAATATATAGGCCTACTTCAAGAGCACACCGCAATTGTTGCTTGTCCACACGTCGATGATAAGTTAACCTTTACTATTAGACATCGTGAAGAGTCACGAGAGTCAAAGCCCAAGACATCCTCAAATCTCACCCCCTTCCCACTTCAGCTACCTTAAACAGAAGAACTTTAATGAACCTGATCTTCCCTTTATATCAAATGATTGAACATGCATCTTGAGCTGTCTTTTATATTCGAGAAATGTGGGCATCTAGAGCTACAAAAGTATTTTACTTTTGATGTGATATCTGTTGCCTTGTCAATATTGAAATGGTGAGATTCAAAATCTTCCCTTTTTGGCCATTAAGAACAATAGAACAGTCGACATTACATATTTACATGATGGTTGAATTTCTTTTTCCTCTATCTAAAGCTATTTGGCCAGTTTCTCACTAGTTCTGCACCCAGAAATTCCCGGTCGTCACACTCATTTGCCTTCTTAAGATTGATAGAGACCAGGCCGGCCAGTTCACTGAGCGGGCTCTCTTATAGTTAGTCGTTCAATGCTTCCAGTTAGGGTCGGGCGTAAATTTTGCCTCCTGAAATACATTCCGTCTGGTTATCAGAAATTGCGTCCTGAATCACGCTCCCTATTCTTTTGGCTAAAACCTAATCACTTTATATATGACAGTGATCAAACTTGGTTAGATGTTTTCTTTTTTGTTTATTACAGTTTTCTAATCGTAAACTTAATTAATTGGTTCGTGCAGGGGGAGAGAAAAATCTCTGTTTTGGTTGGCATTTCTCTTGCATTCACCATTCATGTTATTGGTGTGTACTGGTGGTATCAAAATGATGGCCTTTTATATCCGTTGATCATGCTTCCTCCTAGAGCAATACCTCCTTTTTGGCATGCTATTTTCATCATCATGGTGAATGGTAACCTTCTGTTGAAGTTATTACTGATTGTTACTGTATGTTCGCTGATCATGATCTATAAGCGTTACCGTAGCAAAGAAGTTGTTTACTATGCTAGGCTGCTAGTCACATAATTTTCTGCAATTCATTTATTTTCTTAAATTTCCGCTGAGTGATCATTTAGTTCTTCATTTTGCTTCATTTTTTAAAAGTTTTTATAAGATTAAACCACTTCATTCGAGAAACAAAGAACAAAAGGCGTCTCCTCCCTAAGTGGATGATCAAAGTGGAATAATTACAAAAAGACTTGTGTTGGCTACACCAATTGAAAGCCATATACTGTGAGATCACAAAAGTAACCAAAAGAATTGAACTTATCCTTAAAATTTTATTGTTCCTTTCCTTCCAAAACGACCACAAGATATAGCCTTTGCCACGTTGAACCACAGCACCTCTTGCCAATTAAACACCAGCTATTTAGAGATCCCAAGAACCAATCTTCAATAAGCTTAGGCGTGCACCATCGAATACCAAACTGATTTCCAAATAAATCCCGAACTTTACTTCTGGAACTACAATGAGGAGTAGATGAGATAAAGATCCTCCAAATTTTCTTTTCATGACCATCCTCCAAAGCGTATCTTTTTCTTCCACTCCCATGCCTCCCAAAAGAACGAGGAACCTTAACTTTGCCCCCACCTAACTAAATGACTGCCTTTTATTGCATCTGCTTCCTTCCATAGAAAGTTTAGAGTGATCATTAAATTCTTAACTGACGTTAATATACCCGTAGGATTTGGAGTTCAGGGTTCTTAAGGGTTGGCTTTTGAAAGATAAAGGAAATAATCTTCAATGTTTATAGGATTAACATGTGTTTCCCTCGGTATGTTGATGATGGTTGTTAGAAGCTCTTAATGGTTGGCTTTTGAAAGGTAAAGTAATGAGTATATGTTCATTGAATTAAAAACTGATTTATATGTTGAGCAGGGCTTTTTTCTGCAATTATTCCTTACAATTTACAAAAGGAAATGGTAAATGTTGTCGCTGGTTTGGTGAATTGTATGCTTTTGTGTTGGTTTCTCAGACACTTTGGTCCGCCAAGCAGTGATGGTGGTGAAGTGCATTCTATTGATGTATTACAAGAACAGCAGAGGCCGCAATTATCGTAAACAGGTGAGGTAATATAGAAGTTGACTCTTGTTTATTCATAAAGCTTCTTTTTGAATCAATAACAAATATTCATGTAGAAAGTGAATGAAGTGGTAACTTTAGTTTGTCGGTCTGTGAGAACGCACTATTAACATTCACACTATCTCCAGGGTCAAATGCTAACTTTAGTCGAATATTTACTACTACTGTACCGTGCCTTATTGCCCACTCCTGTCTGGTATCGCTTCTTTTTGAACAAAGAGTACGGGAGTCTATTTTCTTCGCTATTGACGGGACTGTACTTAACTTTCAAACTCACATCTGTTGTTGAAAAGGTATGTTTTCTATTGTTTCTTCCTTTTTTTTACTCATTTTTCTTCACTATTGATGGTCTCTCTTATTTGTTATCTCCCTTCCCTGTCTTATCTCTCTTTTCTATGCGAATTTAGGTGCAATCCTTCTTTGCTGCTTTGAAAGCACTGTCACGTAAAGAGGTGCATTATGGGGCATATGCAACGTCGGAGCAGGTAAATTGTATCTCATTTGTCCATGCCTTTCTCCAATTAATCGAACTTTCTTGCCGTTGGATGCCATGTACGTTTCATTTTAATGCCTTGTCGGAAATTAGTGTCTCGCCCAATTGAACTGTACTCAAGTTGGTATCATCTCTTCTATTTGGGGGGCTATATTTGTAATGTTTTTGGCCTCGTTTCTCTCGGTAATCTGTAGGGCTTCCTTCAAACTTCTCCTATAGGGAATTACTGCTTGCTGGCGATCCATTTGAAACGTTTTAATGCAATAGTGTTATTTGGGTAATGCAGGTGAATGCAGCTGGTGATTTGTGTGCTATTTGCCAAGAGAAGATGCATGCTCCTATCCTACTCCGATGTAAACACATATTTTGTGAAGATTGTGTATCAGAGTGGTAAGTTTATTGCATGAAATTCTCCCATATCTGTGTTCTACATCATATTAAACTACTGAACATTTCGGAGAGGATATGATTTCGATTTATGGTTGAAGCATACTTGAGTCTTTGCTGGAATAGTTTTAATATTAGTGTTTGTGTGTTTAATAGTCACATGTTATAGTCAGATCGAAGTATAACGTAGTGGATGAGAGACTTTATAATGGAGGATCTTGTTAGGACTTGATAACAAAGGCAATATGGGATAGAGATAGTTCCTAAGGAGATCCCAAACGAAACTTGCATTGATTTTTGGGTCTGGAGATTTCAAATGAAACTCACATGTGAGATCCCATCTCACATTGGTTGGAAAGGAGAACGAAGCGTTCTTTATAAGAGTGTGGAAACCTCTCCCTAGCAGACGTGTTTTTAAACCTTGAGGGGAAGCCCAAAAGGGAAAGTCAAAAGGAGAACAATATCTGCTAGGGGTGGGTTTGGGCTTGGGCTATTACATCACATTTCTTATATTTTATCTTTCATTACGACTTTTGAGTCTCGGTATCTAGTTCCTAAGGAGATCTCAATCGAAACTCCCATTTCTTGTCCCGCTTTTATTAACCTGAACGTCGAAACAAAAAGGGGCCGAAGAAAGGAGAAATGTTGGGGGCATATGTACATGCATGTGTTGTGTAACTTGCTTTAGTGTTCTTAATATATTGTTCATTTCGATACCAATTTTGGATTGGATGGTGCTACACGCAGGTTCGAGCGGGAACGAACATGTCCATTGTGTAGGGCTTTGGTTAAACCTGCAGATCTCAGGTCATTTGGTGATGGATCAACCAGTCTATTTTTCCAGGTTTTCTAAGCCATTTACTTCCAGCAGCCCATCAGAGGCTTTGTGGTTCATCACATATTTACCTACACAAAATGTACATCTAACTAATGGCCTGTGTAGTTAGATGTACATTTTGTGTAGCAAAGACTGCGCGCACAAGAAGAATGTGCTCGGAAACCCGAATTCGGTATCGGATTGTATACGTAATAGTGTCCCTTTTGTGTTGCGGAGGACGGGTTTAACCACACATGCAAAATTAATGAATTGCTGAGTCTGGAGTGTAAATTTAGTAGTACCAAAGTCAGTTGTTGTGTTGATTTATAAATTAGTCCAAAATGAGAAATTGTTACATATAATACCCAGTTTGATTATTGATTTGTCTTTAAATTAAATTAAATTAAATTAATTAAACTTGTACAATTATACAATTTCTTTATAATTTATTAATTTATCATTTAAAACCTCAAATTAATAAATGTTTCCACTAAAATCTTAAAAACTTTCATAATTATAACTCTAAAATAATCAAATAGATACAAGTAATTTTCAGCTTTAATTATGTAATAATTTGTTTTAATTGATTTAATAATTTCCAGACGTATAAATTGATTTTTCCCTTAATTTTATTCGATCCATATTTGAAAAATAAGTAAATGTGTTAATTACAATGTTAATTTATATAACATTTATATTTCCATTAGAACGAAGAATACAATTTAGTATATAGATATCTCTTAATTATCTATATATATAATAAACATTATTATTGGATAAATCTACCCCTTCCCCTATTTCCGTATATTTTAAGGAGTGAACATCTTTTTTAGTTTTGGAAAGAATAGAAAGAAAAGGTGCGCTTAGTTACGGGGAGTGAACATCTTTTTTAGTTGTGGGTCCAAGAACCAAGAAAGAATAGAAAAAGTGCGCTTAGTTACGGGTCCGAGAAATAATAGAAAAGGTGCGCTTAGTTATAGGTCCAGAAAAGAATAGAAAAGGTGCTTAGTTAAAGGTGATTTGACTATATTTATGTCTCACCAGGAACGGGCCCTATGACAAGAATATTTTTTTAGTGGGACGATAGCTCTGAAATATATATGTTAAATACTCCATAGAAATCTCAATTATGCAATTACCCACAAAAGATATGATAAGAACAGATCAAAATATTGATGAACATGTAATTCCATGCTCAAGAAAAAAGAATGAATTGATAGTGTATTATTTTGCAACATTTATCACCTGGCTTTGGCATATACTCTACAATTCTCACTTTTGTTAATTTCAGTAGCAAAAAAATGGTCAATAAATGTAAAAAAAACAAGAATCAAACCACATCAAACCCTGCCTTTTTTTTTTTTTTCTTTTTTTTGCTTTTCACAGATTATTAGTTGAAAGAACAGTTAAGCAAACTCCTTAGGAAGAAGTACTTGAAGGCAATGGGGAGTTTTCTGTACCTTCTTCTTCCTCAGAAACTGTAGTGGGAGATGGGTCTCCCTCACTGTCTTCTTTATCATCGTCGTCGTCATCATCATCCTTCTCTTCTTTTGGATGAACACGAGGAACAGGAAGATCTTCCATGGCTGCTGCTGAAGGTGAGGTTGGAGAAGTTGAGGAATGTGGGGAACCATAATTAAAAAGCATTCTGGTGATCTCTGGAGAGGTGGATCTTGGATAATATTCTGTCACTTCTTCCATTCCTTCGTCTAGGTAAACCACATCCTGCATTGTCAGTTGGTGGTACTCCACAATTTCCCTTAGGAATCGGTTCTCGCGTGCATATATCGAATTCTCATGCGCCAAACGAGCCTTCTCAGCCAAAAGAGTCTCAAGTTGAAGCCGAATCTGGATTTAGAAACAGTTCAAAAATCTTTTCATGGTCCAAATGAACGTTAGAACATACAAACCGTGTTTTTGAATTGATGTTCTAGTGAATACATACCAAGTCATCATCTGCACGATTGTCTCCCTTCTCTCGATTTTCCCTGAGAATTTTGTTTTCTTCCTCTAATTGTGCACATCTTTCTTTAGCAAAAGCCAGTTCTGCTTTAATGGTTTTCAGCTCCCGGAGTAATAGTTTGGCTTTGGCAGCTGTAGCCATCGCCACCTACATTCCACAGGTAATTTTGACATTGTTATGCCATTGATGCACTCATCACCAAAGGTATTTTTTACTGAAGTTCGAGCAAGTACGAGTAAAATTAACCATCTAAATTCAATTGATGACATTCACATTGGAAATCTCAAGCTTAGGAAACAGTTTCAACTTACTTTGTCAGATTAAACTTAGCTAAGACGATGAATCAACTCCAACCATTTTGACTTTAATTTGAGAAAGAGAAAAATTCAATGAGTTGCATTACGATACATAATTACAAAGTTGGCACCTTACGTCTCGAGATGCCTTCAGTTGAGTTTCATGATGTGCTTGCATCTGTGGTTCCGGAGACAGAAGATTTGGTTGCTGCCATGGATTATTCACAGTAGGAAATAATCCTTCAGATTTGTTGCCCTTTCTCCTAATCTGCAGTTTGCGAGTTTCATGAATGATGTCTGTAGTCTTAGCTTCCACAATTGGGCGACCTTCCTGCAAACCAAGATGAGGTGTTGAAAATGGTATGACCAAATCTAATTTCGAATATCCGTTCACTAAGAAGCCATACCGAAGATATTCTTGAATGAAGTTTGTTGGGAATCACGAACCTACATAATGGTATGACATTGTCCACTTTGAGATAAGCTTTATTGGTTTTCTCAAAAGGCCTCGTACCAATGAAGATAGTATTCCTTACTTATATGACATTCCTTTTAATTAGCCAACGTGGGATTACTCCTTTCATAATCCTCAACAGAGTTTCCAACTTCTTTTAAATCAGACTCGATTATGCTGTCAAGTCTTTGGATTTTGTAAGATTTATTTATCATAGTATATTAGAGTAGGAGGCCTTGAATTTTTAAAATTCCGAAATGTGAGGTGATAATTTTCATGAAAATATATGATCGAGAGAGATGTTCTCTAGATATTCCAATGTATTTTACCATCTTGCAAATTGAAATCAGGCAGAGATACTATTAATCTATATTTCAAGTACAAAAAGGTCGATTAATCTGAGAAATGGACAGCTAATTAGTAAGCTAACTTGGAGACAAGAAAAAAACAAGATATGAAAATACAATAAAACCAAGTTCTGTTCTTACCTTAGATGCCTTTTGATTTGTGTCCCCAAGTTGATTAAGCGAAGTTGTGATTGCATCCAAACCCTTCGGTTTTGCTGGATTATCCGATTTCTTCGAGTCGTGATCAGTAAACTGACATGCCTCCTGATACCATTTCATATGAAAATCAGAAAACAGAGCAGTAGGGATAAACGAATTGCATATGAGTTAAAATCTCTGTGCTGATATGAGATTTTGCTGTTGTGTTGTTGAAAATTCAACATCACATTTCCAGGAGTTACTCTAATTTCTTACCCATTGATAACTTATACATAAACAAGGGAGTTTCAAATTAGAAAGATTGCATATACCTAAGATAAATCATTATCACAACAAATTGTGTCAATATTTATGTAATGTATTGACGCCAGATAGCTCAGTGGACAAGGCATTGTCGATAATGGCTAAATCACCCAAAGAGATACTCACCTGGCTAAGGGTTGAGGTATTAATGGGCTGGAAACCACTAGTTTCCTCTTCTATGGCTATGTCATCTTCTTCGAGAATTGCCTTAGCTTTCCGAGCAAGTACGCCCCAAAACCCGGATTTCGACTCACTTTTGAATGTCAAATTCTCGCCAGCAAAACTCTGGAAATAGAGGCATAGCATCAGATACAGATTACATGGCCGCTATAAAGGCATATTTGAATGACCAACAAAAACAATAGTGCTTGCTGAAGAATTCGAACACGGCAATGAATCATCAACAGACGCCATCATTCTTCCGATAGGTTAGGCAATTAAACAAATAAAAAATAAAAGGCCGTCCTAAAATTCCGATTAGGTCAGAAATCGCAACATTTGCCAAAAACAGAGGAGGTCACGGCAATTGATGAATCACTTCCTCGGAAGAATTCGATGCTAAACAAATCGTATTGATATGAAATAGCTAAATTCAACGATGGAGACAAAACAATAGACACAATCAAATCTGAGATTTCGCTGAATTTCTTATTTCTTATCATTATCCAAGTCAATCAAACAAACACTCAAAGCGATCAATTCAACATTGTAGAGGTTAGAGAGAGAGAGAGAGAACCTTGGATCGCATATGGCCAGGGGAGAAAACAGAGGAGGAACCGGAAAAGGCAGAGGAATTCGAAGAATCTCGATGAGCAGCAGAAGCTCGGATCGCCTGAACAGCAAGAGAAGAAGAGGAAGAAGAGGAAGAAGAGATGGAATTATGATCAACATCGTCGGCAGGACGATGGATCTCTTCTTTGAAAGTGGAAGCCCTCGTGATTGCTTGTCTCCTCCTATACGCCATTATCGAAACTATTGTGGATGATGATGCTGTTCTCCTTCTTGTCTTCGAATTGTGATCGTCGTAGTTGCAGAACAATCACAAAACGACTCCCACCGCCAGCACCGCCGTCGCCGCCGCCAGCACCACCGGAACTGCAACCGCTTCCGCCTCGAAAATGAATCGAATGCCGAGAGAATTGGCAGCTTTGTTCTTCTTTCTCTCTTCTCTAACTAACTTCTTTCGTTTTGCATTTTCTTTTTTAAAAAATTAGAAATATAAATATTCCCTTCGTGTTCCTCAACAATTTTAATTATTAAAAAATAAATAAATAAAGAAAAAAAGAAATATAGCGCGCGCTATTCTTATTCTTTGACAGTTAGGCTCTTTTTTTTAAATCAATTTATTTTAAAAAATATTTAAAATATTATTTCTAAAACCCTTTATTATTATTGGGGCTAATATATACATACATATATATATACATCCATATACATACATACATACATATATATGTGTATATATATTTTTTTCAGAGTAAGAAGGTAGAAAAAATAGAGAAATTACATACATATACATGCATACATACATATACATATATATACATACATATACATACATATACATATACATGCATGCATACATATATATATACATACACTTATTTTTATTTTTTTTCGTAATTTCTTTATATATTTCAAATTTGAGTGTATACACGGTAGTTTAGCACATTGGCCCGAGGTATTTGTCTACCCTTCTTTTACCTGAAAAAACAGGGCACCTTATATCCTCAGCCTAACAAAAAAAAACTATAGTTGGGTCGGGTTAGGTTCATGATTTAACTAGGGCGGTTTGAGTTGAAAAAATTACAACTCGAACAATTAAGTTGAGTCTAAAAAATGTCTCATTCTTACT